TGTGTGTGTGCACATTTGTTGGTGTATGTGTGTGTGTCTTTGAGTGTAAACGTGTGTGCATTTGCGTGTGTAAATGTGTACGTGTCTTTGTGTGTGTATATTTGTGTGTGTGTGTGTGTCTGTGTGTGTGTGTATATTTGTGTGTGTGTGTGTGTGTGTGTGTGTGTGTGTGTGTGTGTGTGTGTGTAGTGCCACACACAGATGTTTCTTTATTATCTTAACATTTCACCTAGAGTGTGTGGAGATGTTAATGCATCGACAGTAAACACAAGACGGCAGTGTGTGTGTGTGTGTGTGTGTGTGTGCGTGTGTGTGTGTGTGTGTGTGTGTGTGTGAACGATGTTTCCTGATATCGGTCTTGTTTTCCCGCTGGTTGTGAGAGATCCACCGTTGGGGATTATGATTCATTCTAGTAAATTGGTTTGTTGGTGGAGTCGGTCTTCAAGAACACACACATCTGCCCTAAAGTCACGGTGTGGAGTAGCGGCGGCGTTTATCAGCGTTTACATTAGTGTGTGGTGTAGATGGAGGCGGAGCAGCTTTATTATGGCTCGGCTGTTCAGAACACACATTCATGATATTATAAACATGTCCATCTCCATCCTCCATCATCAGCAGCTGCTCCTCCTCCTCCTCTGACGTCAGGTATTGCTGCTGAATTGTCTTGATTTAGTTCTCTGTGGGACATTTCTAATTAGTCCAATTAAAGTGTTGCGGAGGCTCCGGAGACGCGTTTAAACAAACACACACGCGAGGTTTATCTCTCTCAGCACGACTCTGAAGAACAGAAATAATAATAATAGAGTTTAGGAGACGGCAGACACGGGGGTCCGGGCCCTTAATGAGCTGTTTATCACATCAGGAATGAGCTCCGCATTCAGCGCATACACACACACACACACACACACACACACACACACACACACACACACACACACACACACACACACACACACACACACACACGCACGCACACACACACACACACACACACACACATGTCTGCCTTAATGTTTCAGTTACAAAACAGCTTTTATTATGTTCAGGGCAGATTTTTTCAATTCAGTTCCCCTTTATTAGTACAGCGCTTTTACAATGTAGATTAAGTCAAAGCAGCTTCACATAGAAGATCATAGTGAATGTAAACAGTGTAGTTCAGTGTTCAGAGTTTAAGTTCAGTTCAGCTCAGTTCAGTGTAGTTTAATAATCATTACTGAGAGTCCAAACACTGAAGAGCAAATCCATAGATGTGCAGCTCTACAGATCCCAAACCATGCAAACTAGTGGCGACAGCGGCGAGTAGAAAACTTCACCAGTTGACGAAAGTGAAGGAAAAAACCTGGAGAGAAGCCAGACTCAGTTGGGCACGACCATTTCTCCTCTTGCCAAATGTCTTGTGCAGAGCTGCAGTCTCAGCGGCGGAGGCTGGAGAATGCTGAACCTCAGCGAAGACTCGACTGTCCCTGGAGCATCACAGGAATCAGTCTCATGCTCTCCACTCCTCCATGACCACCACAGCAGCTGCTCAGGATACGGCCTGGTCCCGGATATGGAATCCTTGGGATCATCTTGTCGGTGATCTTGGATTGAATCAGTACCTCTGCATAATCTGAGGACCTCGGGATGAGTATCCCCAGGTGAAAATAGAGAATAAAGAGAATAATTAGCGTAGCTGCTGTTCATAGTGTATATAAGCAAGATGCAGAAGCCTGTGTGGAACCCGCTAGGTGATGCATTGAGTGTATGCTTTACTAAACTGACAGGTCTTTAATCTAGTGTTAAACTGGGAGAGTGTGTCTGAGCCTCGGACGTTATCAGGAAGGCTATTCCAGAGTGTAGGAGCCCTAAATGAAAAGGCTCGACCTCCTTTACTCGACTTTGCTATTGTAGGTGCTACCAGAAGCCCTGAGTTTTAAGATCTTAAAGAGCGGGTTGGATTGTAGTGAGAAGGTTGAAGGTTGGTTAGATAAACAGGAGCTCGATTATTAAGAGCTTTATAGGTAAGAAGTAATATTTTTAATTCAATATGAAACTGAACTTGCAGCCAGTGTCAGGAGGAGAACATTGGGGTGATATGATCATATCTACTAGGGCGGGTAAGAACTCTGAGTCCAATAAGTCCAATAATGTCATTTAGCATAACTAGGCTAATAATGGCGGCACATTTTATTGTTGTCATAATTGTTGTCAAAGTTTTTTACAATATACAATATTATCAGGATATTGACACACCTTATTACTGTCAACTCTGTTATCTTCAACTCCATTATTGTCGACTATTACATCAACTCTTTTACATCAAATATTATACCATCAACTCCACTACCACCAAATACGTTTTACATCAACTCCATTATCATCAACTCTATCATTGTCAACTCTCTTATCGTCATCTCTGTTATCGTCAACTCTGTTATCGTCAACTCTGTTATTATCAACTCTGTTATCGTCAACTCTGTTATCGTCAACTCTGTTATCGTCAACTCTGTTATCCTCAACTCTGTTATCATCAACTCTGTTATCATCCATCAACTCTGTTATCGTCAACTCTGTTATCGTCAACTCTGTTATCGTCAACTCTGTTATCGTCAACTCTGTTATCGTCAACTCTGTTATCGTCAACTCTGTTATCGTCAACTCTGTTATCGTCAACTCTGTTATCGTCAACTCTGTTATCGTCAACTCTGTTATCGTCAACTCTGTTATCCTCAACTCTGTTATCCTCAACTCTGTTATCATCAACTCTGTTATCCTCAACTCTGTTATCGTCAACTCTGTTATCGTCATCTCTGTTATCGTCAACTCTGTTATAGTACAGCTCTGTTATCGTCAACTGTTATCATCAAC